TGGTTCTTTTTGTTTTTTTTAAACATTCAAATCATTCACAATTTGGCAGAAAATCACATTATAGGTGAAAATAAGTCATAAATATAGCACTGGACCAGATGTAGATCTTGGGGTTGACGAAATCGCTACCCTCAAAACGCCACCTAAGCGGAGACCCGGAATCAAAGAGTTTAGGTTTTTCAGTAAAATCCACACAGAAAAATCTCTCCCTCCCTCCCTCCCTCCCTCATCTACACCCCTCTCTCTCCCTACCCAACTCTCTCTCTCTCCCACTCACCTGGCTTTGGACGGCTCGACCCTGACCTTGTCGTAGACCTGGTAGTTGACCCCGTACTTGTCCAGCGACTCCAGCGTGGCCTTCAGGGGAGACAACTGGGCAATGTACGGGTCCGTCATCACACACACTTTGGTGGCTCCCATGTTCTTGCAGTCCTGGTACCAGACGAAGGCAGAACCAGAGAATTACATATACGAAAATTTCCCACGGCAATGCTCAAACTCAAAGCAATTTCTGAATATCTAAAAACAGAAGCACATTGGATTTCCTACCTCTAAAGTCACCACCAACTTTTGAAAACTAAAAAGAAACAAACTGTTTACTTAGTTTTGGCAAGAGTTTTACGGCACTTCCAGCACCGTAAGGTCAAACAAAAGCTGAAGAGTAACACCCATGAAAAAGAAGGAGGGGAGATAAGGACGATAGATGCAGTTGTTTGATAAGAAAGAAGGAGCCAACCACACCAGAGCACCCGCCAACCACCCGCAAACAGCCTCTTCCCTCGCCGTGGTTCAAGATGGCAGTTATTGACCAAAAAAAACCCTTCTCCAAACCCTCCTGAAAAATTTATTTCTGAACAAACAAAAAAAATTGGTGCTTCGTAGTGTTCCTAAATCCTGAAGATGTTCCGAGCCAACCAGGTAACCATCGGAAGAAGTCACATCATTAGGCAATAAGTAATTGGGTTTGGAATCCATTCCTACGATTCCTAGCTTTCAATAATCGGGAGCGTAACTGCCCAGCACTAACGTCCAGTAATCCGACACAGGACTTACCATGCCTACTTCTTTAGTGACACCCAGACCGTAGCGGATGTTGGAGCAAGCCATCTGGGGGAGATACAAACAATTGTTTTAGTTCTAGTTTCAGTAAGCGTTTTACGGCACTTGCAACACAGTAAGGCCATATAAGTGCCGAAGATTAGAGGTGTTACAAGGGAGTAACAAACATAAAAAAGAAGGGAGGGAAGATAAGGACAATAGATGTTGGATAGGAAAGAAGGAGCAAACCACACCAGAGCACCCGCCAACCTCCCACGGAGGGGAGATAAAGACGACAGATGTTTGACAGGAAAGAAGGAGCAAACCACACCAGAGCATCGACACTGACCTCAAAAGCATATTCCTTTTCTTTCCTCACAGAAGAAGTGGACAGCGCTCCTGTAGGTAAAAAAAAAAAGGCGAAAAGTCTGTTAGCCAAAGGTTCCGTAATGTACCGTAACATCCAATAACACACAGTTATAATACAAACAAGGGTAAAAAGAAGCATTTGAAAAATAAATAAGTATAAAAACAAACAGTTAAAAAAACATATGAGGCGTGCTGACAAAATGAGTTACTTCTCGCAATCCACGAATAGAGATATTGGCCAAAAATTGACACTAGGGTCAAATTTGTAGATGTTCTATTGATGCCATATTCTTTATGTATAACAAGCCTTTAATTATTTTCATTCTTATAATTTTAATAACTTTCTCTGTCAGAGTTATGTATCTATTTTCATGAGGCTCAAATCGGAAAAGTAACTCATTTTGTCAGAACGCTTCACATACATGTTTCAATAACACACAGTTTAAAAATAGTTTTAGTAGAGGTTTTACGCCTCTCGCAACTGCATAAGGTCATATGAGCGCCATGGGGTGGATGTCAATAGAGAAGTCTTTACAGGGAATCAGACTTACTCTGCTCACCTCTCTAGCTTCAACAGCACAAGGTCTGCTTCGACTATCAAGGCACCCCGGAAATAGCAGGTCACAAGAGAGTGACACACATACAAAAGAGGTAGAGGAAAATGA